CCCCCCCCCCCCCCCCCCCCCCCAACTAGACCTGCTACTATATAAAATGCTGTTGGAATTTTAGGTCTGGATCATAATAAGTTCAAGTGGTTTAAAGTAAGTTCAAAATATGGGCTGCTTTTGAGTTACTTATTTACATTGGTGGTGAAATAATATGAATCATTCAGATTTCTATATATGTATATTAGTACTCCTAATTTATTAATCTAGTTTTATAGGGAAGGGTTGATAGATCTATATCAAGATTCATTTATTATTAGTAGTAGCAGACTAGCAGTCGCACCAACAGCCACATCTCTTTAATCTTATTTATTCATTTTATGAATTTATACATTACTTCTTTCATTTCTATATTATCTATCTTAATACTGCATGGTATTCTGTTTGGTTGGATTGTACATTTTCACAAATATCTTTTTTTATTAACTAAAAGGACAAAATTGTGGTCTGCAGAGTGCAATAGGTCACCTTGTAACTGCTACTAAATATAGTACAGCTAATATTTCTTTCAGGGAAGTATAGTCACCTGTCCATGGAGGAGCTGCCACTGTATCTGATATAACCTAGTTCTACATATAGATATATGCTTGAAAATGGCCAATAAGTGTGTGTGTGTGTGTGTGTGTGTGTGTGTGTGTGTGTGTGCGTACGTGCGTGTGTGTGTCTGTGAATGTGGGGGGGGGGGAGGAGGGTCAAGTATTCTTATAAACCAACAACACATTATGACATAATTACTAGTACTTCTCTCTCATTCTATCTCTTGTCTGCCAGTCTTTCTTTCCTCTCTCTCTCTCTCTATCTCTCTCTCTCCCTCTGGGCACACACTTTTTTTGTCATAAATACTTTAACAAAGCAACAGAAACAAAGTATACACTTTACAGTTTCAGTTATTCTGCTTATGATCTTGTCCTATAGGTCACAAAAGATCTTTTAATGAAGTCAAGATCATTTAGATGACATGGAGCACTATACAGACTTACTGGACATATATAACAGGAAGGACCATATAATTATAAGAAAACTATGTTAATCAGGCTGTGGATATCTTTTATCTTATAACTACAAATCCCTCAAATTAAACTAACTAGTGTCAGTATTTCTTTCTGAAATGTACACGAGGATATAGCATTCTAAATGCCTAGCCAGTCATTCAGAACTGTGTTAGCTGAATTTCATTAGAAATGAACGATATAAAACACTGGATTTTAGTAGGAGAAAATAATTTTTTTTTCTAGGAAAATTTAACTTGGCCAAAAAATCCCTGATAGGATATCTTTTACAGCGTGACAGAGTGAAATGATGAAGTGGTTAGAAGAGAAGTGCAATCCAAGTGGCAGGTGCTCAGTTCTAATTCTACCTTTAGCATTACTTCATCCTTTGATATTTCATATTAAAAATTGTGGCAAAGAAAAACAACAGCAAATGCATGTGAAATTGGTTCATCTTGTTTTTTCTGTAGTTGCTGTTGTGTGACCTTGCTTTGCCTCTTTAGATCATCCTAAAACATAATTTTTGTTTACATTAAGCGGAAAAATACATGTGAAGCAATGTTCATATTAATATCAGCTGATACCACAGGAAAAATAACATTCCATAAAATTTGTTTGAGATAAAGAATAATTAGAGTAAGGTGGTGAGTAATGCAGTTTATTGTAACAAAAAATCTACTACTGGTCACATTCATATATAAACTACCACTGCCAAATGGACACAGCAAAACCTAAAGTAAATAGGATAAAGCATTACATCTTACAATCATAGTAAAATATGAAATAATTTGTGTTGAAGATGACCTGATATGAAAAACAAAGAAAACACAACACAATATAACAGAGTCGCTGGCAAAATGTTGCACAATCAGTTGTCGATGACCTGTGCATTAAATTCCCTACAACAACAAACAGTTCGCATACATGTACATAATCACAGCGTCAACAATAACATGTAAACAAACGGCTCAGAAGACTCAGAACCCCTTCTCAATAAACCATATTACACATTACACACTCTACATGTGACAGCCATCAATGCGGGCGCCACGGAACGCTGTGCACTTTTTTCATCTGTCCACATATTCCGGGGAAACCTGGTTAAATTCAATGTCATTAGATTTCAGATGTAATATCAGCTCACCTTCACAAATATAGCCCTGTCCGATAAGACCCCATAGCATGTCCGTACAGTGGTGGCAATATGTGGGCTTGTGAAACGTCTTCTTCACGAAAAAATGTCCATGGCCTGGGTCAAATTGACCTTCACAAACCGTTCCCGGCGGTGGACCACCATTTTCATTTTCCGCCGCCATATTGAATTTTCAAGGAAATTTTTTCGGGCTCCTAGTCCTACCAGTTCCGACTGGGGCGCCGGCTGTCACCGCATCGGGACGGTCGGAGGAAGACTCCCAGACCTCCGCTCAGCTCCTAAACCAATTGTGTCTGGGTTTTTAGCAAGAGTCTGAAATACGCCATGATGAATTTGATCATTTCTGTAGCACTCGGCCATATATACCACGGAAATGAAGAATCGAAATTGAGGCTCTTCAGCGCCATCTGTTGGCTGTGAAAAGGTCATGTGACTGAATTGCTAGGAAAATCTAGGAGATTGTTAAGTAGAGTGCTTACAGTCGTTTGGCATAGCGTTTGTTCAGTATTGAGGGATAATAGTTCAAAATAGAAATATAAGAGAGAGAGAGAGAAACATAAATCCTGGAGCCTTCCAAGAAAATTAACCTTTTATCAAAACGACGTGAGACTAAAATTGCCTACACAGCCTATTGTTACCATCAGTCGCGGACTACACGATGTTTATAGTAGGGTTTACTAGTAGGCCTACAATATTGTGTATATGTATATACGGTGTGTATGCGACATAGACTTACATGTATAGCCATATCCTTCAACCCTGTCCTAAATTTATCATCAGCTTGGACAAGGCCAAAAATATTAACAATAATAATTAATTTATAGGCCTATATTTTACACAGTAGCCTGCAGTCTCTACCAGCTGAGAGGCATGCAAAAACTGCTATGACAGTAGGCCCTATCACCGGGAGGCAAGCGCAAACGAGGTAGACCGAGGATAACCTGGAGGAGAACCTTCCAGAATGATCTGCAAAGAGGCAACATCAGGTGGGAGGAGAAAAAGGTTGCCGCCCAATGTCCTACGTTACACAGGAGGACCTAAGACTAATTAAGACTATATATAATTAGATCCCAACCCCCATTAAAGAAAGCAATTAAACAACCCACACTGTTGTGACTATAACGTGTCGTGATTATAACCCCCAGTATCGCGACAACAGCCTAGCTAGCGCTAGTAATAACACATGTTACGTATAACTATAACCCGTTCGAGGAAATAAGGGGAGCGGGGCGCTGCTTGCTTTGCTCCAAAAGCTCCAAGTAAGCCTATACAGAGTTATTTATTTATTTATTTTTTATTTATAGTTTTTTTTTACAATTTTATAAATCTTTTTTTTTTTTTTTTTTTATTATGGAAAAAAATAATAATAAGTAAATAAATAAACACAAATAGAGNACAGCAAATGCATGTGAAATTGGTTCATCTTATTTTATCTGTAGTTGCTGTTAGTGTAACCTTGTTTTCCCTTCCCCCCCCCCCCCCCCCCCCCCCCCCCACACACACACACACACACACATTTTCTACCAATTCTGTTCCTTTTTTTAATCTTATCACTTCGACTTCGTGCTGGTTCAATGACAGCATGCAATCAATACATGAAGACAAGCACTGACTATGCAGGAACTTTAGATCAACCTAAAACATAATTTTTGTTCATGTTAAGCGAAAAATACATGTGAAGCAATGTTCATATTAATATCAGCTGATACCAAAGGAAAAGTAACATTCCATAAAATTTTTTTGAGATAAAGAATAATAAGAGAAAGGTGGTGAGTAATGCAGTTTATTGTAACAAAAAAATTACTACTGGTCACATTCATATATAAACTACCACTGCCAAATGGACACAGCAAAACCTAAAGTAAATAGGATAAAGCATTACATCTTATAATCATGGTAAAATATGAAATAGTTTGTGTTGAAGATGACCTGATATGAAAAACAAAGAAAAAAGAAAAACAACACAATATAACAGAGTCGCCGGCAAAATGTTGCACAATCAGTTGTCGATGACCTGTGCATTAAATTCCCTACAATAACAAACAGTTCGCATACATGTACATAATCATAACGTCAACAATAACATGTAAACAAACGGCTCAGAAGATTCAGAACCCCTTCTCAATAAACCATATTACACATTACACACTCTACATGTGACAGCCATCAATGCGGGCGCCATGGAACGCCGTGCACTTTTTTCATCTGTCCACATATTCCGGGGAAACCTGGTTAAATTCAATGTCATTAGATTTGAGATGTAATATCAACTCACCTTCACAAATATAGCCCTGTCCGATAAGACCCCATAGCATATCCGTACAGTGGTGGCAATATGTGGGCTTGTGAAACGTCTTCTTCACGAAAAAATGTCCATGGCCTGGGTCAAATTGACCTTCACAAACCGTTCCCGGCGGTGGACCACCATTTTCATTTTCCGCCGCCATATTGAATTTTCAAGGAAATTTTTTCGGGCTCCTAGTCCTACCAGTTCCGACTGGGGCGCCGGCTGTCACCGCATCGGGACGGTCGGAGGAAGACTCCCAGACCTCCACTCAGCTCCTAAACCAATTGTGTCTGGGTTTTTAGCAAGAGTCTGAAATACGCCATGATGAATTTGATCATTTCTGTAGCACTCGGCCATATATACCACGGAAATGAAGAATCGAAATTGAGGCTCTTCAGCGCCATCTGTTGGCTGTGAAAAGGTCATGTGACTGAATTGCTAGGAAAATCTAGGAGATTGTTAAGTAGAGTACTTACAGTCGTTTGGCATAGCGTTTGTTCAGTATTGAGGGATAATTAATAGTTCAAAATAGAAATATAAGAGAGAAAGAGAGAAATATGAATCCTGGTGCCTTCCAAGAAAACTAACCTTTTATCAAAACGACGTGTGGCTAAAATTGCCTATAGGCTATAGTCTACTGTTACCATCAGTCGCGGACTACACGATGTTTATAGTAGGGTTTACTAGTACAATATTGTGTATATGTATATACGGTGTGTATACGACATAGACTTACATGTATAGCCATATCCTTCAACCCTGTCCTAAATTTATCATCAGCTTGGATATAAAGGTCAACAATATTAACAATAATAAATTATACATTTTACACAGTAGCCTACAGTCTATACCAGCTGAGAGGCATGCAGAAACTGTTATGACTTGGGTACGACCGGGAGGCAAGCGCAAACGAGGTAGACCGAGGATAACCTGGAGGAGAACCTTCCAGAATGATCTGCAAAGCGGCAACATCAGGTGGGAGGAGATAGAGAGGGCCGCTGCCAACCCAACCGAACAAGTTGGAAAAAGGTTGCCGCCCAATGTCATACGTTACACAGGAGGACCTAAGACTAAGACTCTATATAATTAGATCCCAACCCCCATTAAAAAAAAGCAATTAAACAACCCACACTGTTGTGACTATAAAGTGTCCTGATTATATAACCCAGTATCGCTCCAACAGCCTAACACCCAGTTACACCCTAACGCTAGTAATAACACATGTTACGTATAACTATAACCCGTTCGAGGAAATAAGGGGAGCGGGGCGCTGCTTGCTTTGCTCCAAAAGCTCCAGGTAAGCCTTTACAGAGTTATTTATTTATTTATTTATTTATTTATTTATTTATTTATTTATTTATTTTTTATTTTATTATTTTTTTTACAATTTTATAAATTGTAAGAAACAAATGATAAATCTTGATACAGGTCTTAAGAAGGTAAATCATACGCGCGAACGCACGCACGCAAGCACGCACACAAATGAAAAAGAAAATGAAAGAAAGAAATTCGTTCCAAATGTATAGCGAATGAAATATCTAAAATATATAAGTTGTCATTGGTTGCAACAACTTGCTTACTCCTGGCCTGTTGCCGACCCAAATAAGTTCAGCCAGAAGTTGGGGGTGTCAGGGAGGTCCTGACCCCTCCCCCCCCCTTCGATTTTTGAAAAATAAAAACACCAATGGTCCCCTCTTGAAATAAGAATTTTGACTAGCTGAATCATAGTTATAAACCGTACCAAAATTTTGGGGGGCCCTTCAGCGGGTCCCGAACCCCACGCCAAGAGGGGGGGCTTCGTATCTGCGTACCCCCACCCCC